GCACGGGATAGCGTCGGTAGTTTTCTCCTAAGTGACTAATTTTCAGAATTCGAGATGAATATTATGGTTTTTAGAAATCTTATCGCCCCACTATGACAATGTGAATGGTTATCAAAGTGACGTGATGTGGTGTGATTTGGTAATGAAAAAACCTGACGCCGTGCCCGGGGAAGTAGGCAATATATGTTACGTTCGTGAGCAGCAAAAATAGTAACAATTTTCACGAGGTTTATCCAATGGTCCAAGTCACCAAGTCAGCTTACGTCAGGGTTTTTTTTTTTTTATTGGTACAGCATCAACATCGTGGTTATATTAGCTTATACAATTGATTAGGACATCAGGTTTTATATCTATTCGTTCTACTATAGTATTTATAATCAATGATGTATCTATATAAAACTATTAAATTACTGATGGGTTAATCGTATGCAATCGATATTGTCATAAAAACCTAAGGGGAAATAATCTCGTACAGTAATGTCATTGCTTGGGTTATGTAAACACATCACATTTAATCCATTGAAAACGAACATTACGATTGCTTACCTGGTACTGGTGTGGTTCATCGGGTACCGAGTTAGGCGGGGCCTCGTACTCGTGGTTGTGGTTATTGTCGATCCCGTTGCCATAATGATCGTGCAAGTCCTGGTGCAGGTGTTGAACGGTGTCGTCGGTTATCGTATAGTACGACGTCTCCCCTGAGTGTCCGTTAAAGTTACCGTGATCGTGGTCACCGGTCGGGCCTGCAGTGGCAGACGAGGGATTTTCACCAGTACCGCCAGAATTGGAAGTGCCAGACTGACCTGATCCGCCAGTAGCAGMCACGTCGCCGACGTGAAACTCCGACGACGTATCCTCCGAGTTCTGGACAGGCGACGATAGTGATGACCCGTCCTCGATGCTCGCCTGATAGTTTTTGGCCTCGGAGAAACCAGCTGAGTGCATGATTGGCACGTAAATGTGTGGTATCAGGTGCAAATGGATCATGTGGTTGTGCTTCTTGGCGATTCCGTCACCGGYACTACTACCACCGGCACTTCCGCCGTAACCRCCGCCATTGTAGTTAATGCCGGAACCACTAAACCCACCACTGTTGTCTGATCCAGTGGATAGATGTTCGGACGACGGTGTTGACGGCAACCGCAAGTGATTGTCCACGTTGTCCCCAACCATGTTCCGGTAGTGGCTGTCCACTTCTTCGTGGAACGATTCGTGTTCAGGGAATTCGGTTTTGAGGATTTGTGATGGTTTGAACAGCGGTCTCCACGGACCTGTGAAAAAAAAAACACATTTGTAATGTTGTAATTTTGTGAAGTTTAAACTTTGAAATCGATTTTTGATGTTTACGTGTTGTAATATCATACATGWAAAGAGTGCATGCCCCACTTGGAGATCGAAATTATCAGGTTATTTKTTTAAATACAATATTATGTTTATCTTAGGACAAGCATTTCCAAAAGAGGCGTTGTTGTCAGAATTATCCGAATTTATTAGTGCAATAGGGTTATTATAAAATACATAATTTATACTATAATTAATTATAATTGCCAATCGGTAATATAAATTGAATATAATTAATTATAGCAATCCTACAAATAAACACCACACGTTAAATAGTATGGTGATAAATATAAAATAACAGAGCCAAGCTAGTCAGTTAATAAAACAAACGAAGTATTTATCTACTGCAATATAAGCACAAATCWGATTATTCAATATATTATGCTGGACAAGTGATAACTAATTATAGGTACGTCCTTATATATCTCAGTAAGACAATATCTTTAACTATAAATTGACGCTATACTTGAATTATACATAAATTAGGTTATTTAGTTGTTATATWAATAAATAAATAATTAGGATCCTACAATTAATGCAGAAATAATAACATTATTTAAGAAAAATRTAAATATTAAAAGTGCAATATTTTCTATACTAATGATATTTTGGTTTGATTACAAAACGTTAAATACAACAATTTATTTTAAAACTTTATTAACTAGAGGTACCTAACCTATACTTTATCCAGCAAGAGATCAAGCAAAATCTGTACATCCCTACACGGACTAAACGAGTACACGACACTCTACCATCGAGACTGATTTTCGTCAGCCCTCAGCGTGTATTCTCGCTGAATATTGTAAACTTATATTTAGTGTGGCGTGAAAATCGAAACAATTCATCTCATCGGATTGATACGTCGTATGCTAGCCAAGGTAGCCGACCGCAGTGACATTAAATCGTAGGAAAGTTAAAGTACATCAATWTCAATCRTGTTTTTTTCGTAGAATAGTCGATGTTTTCTATAGAAATCAGTGYAAATGACATGATTTCAAGACTTAGAGACTACCTCAGATCGAAACAAACACATATCTCTGTATCATAAGTACAATATTTTCGCTATAAATTGCGGTCGAACGAATCGCCAAACGATCTGCTTTACGTGTCAGCAGAAAAAAAAACAATAACAATTTATTATTGTATTATTGTATCCTAGGTATATAAAATATCACGCAACGATAGCATTATATCTAATTAGGTATTATTAAATAAAAAGAAAATTGTTAAGAAACGAGTAAAAAATGAAAGATTATCAGTCACAAAACAAGTGATTGTATAAACCAAACCTATAAAGACTATATAATATAATATATCATAATATTACATC